AAATTTAGATCCTACTTAACAAACAAAATTAATGGCCTCACACAAACAGAATTTAGAGATACTTGAAGTTCCCTTGACTATCCTTCCTTAGTTGCCTTGCTTAACATCAATTCCTTTCTCATTAGGGACAAGTGGTCATGTTTTCATATAGGCTGGGTTTTGCAGAGGATTGTGAGAGTTTTTAGGAGTCACCAAATTATACTATCTGGAAATATCAGCACCCCCAGGACAGGTTCTGCATTCCCATCTTTCTAACTTCTCTGCTTATGCTTTTTTTTTTTTTAAATGTGTGATCTAAGCATGTTGGTTAATTTATAGCAACAACGGTTGCTCATTAGGGGGAAATCTTATTTCTTCCATGATTCAGCAGCATTGGACTGTCAGGACTTCACTGGCAGGAAGGTGCAGGTACTGGGCTGTGTCTCAGCACTCACCCTGGGATGATTATGAAGACCACAGCCTTGTGAGGAACTCTTGGTGGTGACTGATGCTCTAGTGCATGTTTCTGGGTCTTTCTAGCATGCTCAGGTCTGACCGATGCTCCAGGTAGGGCATCCTGTCCCACATCCCCAGATGCTGCTATCTCTATGTAGGGAGTAACTCCCTTAAGTAGTTACATGTTGGGTTTTCTCATAGGGACATGGACATACATGGGGATGACAGTTTGGGCAAAAAGGAAGCAGTGCTTGCATATCCATTAGACAGATTCTAAGGCAGAATGTTAGCCAGTCCTCTGATTATGAATGGCTTAAGATATCTCAATCTGACATCATTTTTTTGTCTGTATATGGCCTCAGAAATTGAGGATTTCAAAGCACAATTACTGTACTGACTTCACCAGATACAATGTTAGATTCTGAACAATATTAAACCTTTTTCACGCACAGAAAGGAATGATAGCTCTGGAGAAAGTAAGGGCAATTCCCAAGATAGTCCTTCCATGGTGGCTTCCTTCTCTCTAGAGAAGAGCCTCCAGGGCTCCCCTCTGGGCTGCTCTACTGTACCGATGGAGAAGCTGAACAGTGACTGCCTCCCTTGCTCTGTAGAGCTATGTCTCTGGCTGATGGGACTTGGCCCTGCCCTCTCTGCATTGCATTGTGGTCAAATGGGCAGAGACCTGTGAGCCAGGAGCCTGTCGCCCTTCCCAGGCTCCTCCTGTCAGCACCTGAGAGCATTCACCACTCAAGGTGCCTTGGAAACTTGGTGCAAAGCCCTTGGTAGTCAGCAAAGTCCCTTAGTGATTGGTGATCTTAGGTGAACATGTTGTATATTTTGCAATTGCCAGGAGTCCTGCTCCAGTCTGTTTATCCTTTTAAATACTCTCTTGATAATTAGCACTTCCCACAAGACCAGCTTATTGGAGATGGTTTAGTCTCAGTATCTGAGAGTTGATTTCAGCAGTGGCAACACCATCCCTGATCAACGCCACCCAGCAGCCAAGGGTGCTGGTATGGGCCAGGTCCTTTGGAAGGCATCCCTATCCCTCTTCCCCCAGCACAAGAGTTTCTGGAAGCTCCACTTTGGCCAACACAGCTTCCCATCTAGAGAACATGGTGATGTTAAACAGTCAGCCTGCACACATAGCAAGTAAATGAATTTTTTAAAGGACTTTTGAAGAATACAAATTTAAGTATACCAAATGGCATTTTGGTATAATCTTGAACTTGAAAGTGGGACTGCAGATAAACTCCATCCTGTGGAGTCTGGGGGTGGTGGGGCTAGGCTCTCACATTCAAATTCTGAAAAATGTGGGCATTAGGCACAGAGGAAAGGACAGATGTTCTAGGAGAGGGGGCCCTTCACAACCCAGGAAAGAGAAGAGGGTTCCGGCCAGATTCTGTGGATTTCAAGCATTTGAGGATTTCTGTTATCCTTTGCAAATTGGCGGAGACGTCTCAGGAAAAGCCACCGTTCTTTCTGGAGCTGTTTCCAGCTTTGTGTTTGTTACCAGTTGGGTGAGAAATGCTGTGAGAGTAACTCTTTGGGGTCCTGCAGCTGCTTTGCTTTGGATGCTGACAACTGACTTACGCAGAAAGTTCTCGAAGGAGAAAACTGGCCCATTTGCATCCTCAGTTCTCAGGCAGAACCGTTCACAGACTGATTTTTCTGTCTGGGGCTCCCTATTACATTAGAGAAGTACAGAATGATCTTCTTTCCTCACTAAAATATGTATAGATAGAGAGGCCACTTACAGGGCTTGTCCCAGCATCAGGGTGATTTTTCCATAGACAAGCTTTCTTTGTTCCCAGTTTCTTAGCCCGCAAAGCCCTGAACTAATTGACAACTCTCTTCTCTTCCTTGCGTGGGCTGTGCCGAGGAAGGATGTGCTGAATAGGGCTGGAGGTTGGCTCAGGCAAGCCCAGGGGCAGCAGCTGGTGTCAGGAGGAGACAATGGAATCCAGCCTCTTTTCTGTGCACCAGTTCTGTGGTGTCCCTCCACCACCAACTAGAGGGGTATGGCGAAGAGTCACTTGAAAGCTGCTTGGTTTAAGGCAGAGAAACAAAATTTTCTTTGTGGAGTTGTCTGACATTTAAGTCTTTTTCTCATGGAATAGGATTGTAGTGTAGATGCTGGACATAATTTTAGAAATTTGAAAAATACAAATGTACTTAAAAGAATTTTTGCCTTTTCTTGTGTACATCAGTGATTTCTGAATACCGCCCTGAAAAGTAGCATTCTCCTACTCCACTAGAACAATAGGAGGTTTATGGACAGCCCTGTGAATGTTAAAAATTGGTTGGGAGAACTTTGAACTGATGATGTCCACTCACTGACTTCTGTGGACACTGTGCCCAGGGGCATTTGGTGGCAGGTTAAGGCTACACGGTTTTAGATCCCTGAGGAAGGGGGCTTACCTGCCACCTCATCCACCCTTTTTGAACTAGAAGCCATACCTAGAGATCTGAAGCCCCTCTGGGGTTACCAGAATGACCTGAGTGGGAGAAGCATGCTCCACATACTGGCCAGCTTGGCAATCTACTGGTTATCTGAGGCCACAGTGGAACCTGAGTCCCCTGGTCTCCCTTTCCAGGACAGCAGTTCCTCCCCTGTCCACCTGGGGTCTGATACTAAGGGCAGTTCTGTGTGCATTCACAGTTGTGTGCAGTTGCCCCAGGGGATTTCCAGTACAGAGGGGGAGGGAGGGGCTTAGGGTCAAGATCAGAGCATATGCTCTTTGACCATGGGCTTCTTAGGTCTGCTTCTCCCTTGAGGGTCCCTCTTGATTCCTCAGTCTTCTTTGGAGACAAGATACCCTTTGCTTTAGAGATAGACATCCTCACGTAGGTAGCTGCCTCTTCCCCTTTTAATTTCTCCTTATTTTATCCGGTAAAAATGTTTTATTCTATAAACCAACCATCAGTAGGTTATTAGGTTGTTGGTTTTTGTTTTTTTGTGTTTCCTGTAACAACAGAAAGAAATTTTTCCATGAATAAAAAAATTCTAATGGAAGTCATTGATTTGTTTTCTCCCCAGAACATCTATTTTAAAGGAACAACCTTGAGTCTGGCATTTAAAAAAAAAAAAAAACAAGCATCAGAGTTTTAGTCACATGCTCAAATTGTATGATTTTTCTCTTCTTTTCTGTCCTAGCAAAACATAAGGTCTGTGTTTTAGATTACATGTTGCTGGCAAAATTCCCTCCCAGACAGGGACAAGTGGGAAGTATCCCAGGTCTGCTGGTGGTGCCAGGTCTTGCCCTTCCTCAGAGGTTCTGTGAGCTTTTTGGCAACAACAGGGACAAAAATCCCTTTCCTTCATAAATTCTGGCTTTAAATACATTTCTGCTAGGAAGACTGCTCCTTGTAACATCAAAACCAAGGCCGAGGACATATCCGCCCAAAATTTGCTCCTAGTGCCAACAGTGACCCTGTTAGAGGAATACCCTTGGTAGCAGTTGTTCTCTACAGGCAGAAATTCTTCCAAATTCTGAGATGAGTTTCATTTGGAAATGCTTTTTCCCTAAACTTTGTTTGTTCCGTACAAGATGAGAGTTTATTTTAGAGACTCAGTTCTGGCTACATGAAGGACAGAACTGCCCTCTGTCCATTGCATAGCACCTCACTCTGTACCACGTTGGTGCAAGTCCACACACTGACCCTAATCCAGATTTACTCATTATTGTTTATTGCATCATTTGATGTAATTATTTCCCCTGTTTCTACCATCCCAGCCTGATTACAGTTTTTGAGATCCATGGGAGGGGATGTAACCTCCATCAGATAGCAGAAAGGCAAAGCTTCTCTAAGCACGTATTCTTTGGTAGTAGGCCAAGTTCTTCATGCTTCACATTTAATCAAGTGTACAAGCAGTGGGGAAAATAACCTTTCCAGATGCTCTGAAGTATGTGCGTGCGTGCGCGTGCACACGTGCACAATGAGTACTCTGTGTAGTGTTTTCTTCTTTGCTTCACATATAATCCAGTTGATGAGAATATTCCATGATGTGGTTAGTGCTGGCTTCAGCGTGAAAGATGAGTACATTGGTACATCCTGTCTGAGAGCAGTATCATGTGCCTGCTCCCATATTACATTCCCAGGGCGGTTTCAGGCAACCAGATTTTATGGAATCCAAAGGCTCCCCATGCCTTCCCACCTCTGTAGCCTCTCCTCTTATTTACCCCACACCTCATTGCACAGTGACTTCCCTACTTTTCTTTGTCTTTGAATATTTTCCCAGTTTCTGTTCTTTATAAGCATTGAAATTTCTTAATGTAAGGGCAAAATCATTTGACTTTCTCCTTAACATTTTATTGATGCCCAATGTAAAATAAGTATATAAAAGTCCATATTGAACTGAATTCTGCATTCTATGTATTTTAAGACCTCTTAGGCATCGAATAGTGCAATAAAGAGAGATTTAAATTTAGTTTAGTTCCTGACCTCATCTTCGTTCACAACATTTAAAGAACAGGAAAGTCAGCCAGATTTTGTAATTTGTTGTAAAACTGCCTTGAAGATTTTGCCTCTCTTATCTCACACTTAATACTTTTACCCTGCAGAAAGGTTCCTGGAAGACCATGAGCTGGTGGTCCAGGTGGAAGGTACCATGGGAAGTGAGAGTAAATTCTTATTCAGGAAGAATTATGCGAAGTATGAGTTTTTTAAGAATCCAGTGGTGAGTCTTACCTCTTCAGATTTGGGGTTTGAAACTATTGAAATCTTAAAAGTTTATGCTTGGGTATTTAGTAATATCAGATTATAACATCATTGTGATCCGCGGATCAGCATATGGGTGTGAGAATCTGAATTGCTGTTTCACGAAGGCAGTCCTTGCCCAAAACAATCTCTGGCACTTAACTAAAGACTCCTGTGACTGGCTAAAGGTAGAAGTTGCCTTCAAATAGTAACAATGGAAAGGGCATTAGTCTGGAAGTCAAAGGGGGGAGGAGAGACTGGGCTTGTTTAGTTATTTTAGTATTGAAATTGGAACAAACTGATCAAAACTGAGCAGAAGAAATACTCTTGATTCTCTGAAAATAGCAAATATTATCTTGTGATTATATACAGAAGAATGAGTCGAGCAATCAATGTGATTGATTGGTGTATTGATGTAGTCTCCTTGACTGATCTTTCCTCTTCTATTTTTTTGAGAGACACTTGTCCTGGGACATATCAGGAGCAGGAATCTCATAATGTCCATAGCACTTGCTCTTAACCTGAGTCAGGGGGCACAGCAGCATCAACTTGGGGAAAGATCTAGGTCCACTCTGGCATGGATAGTTCATCTGCCTTTTTTATTGCATAGGAAGAAATCTGATAATTCTTTCTGGGTAATATAGCAGAAAAGGCTTTCTCACACAACTGTGCCCACCTTATACACTTCAGGAATTCTGTATCTCATGCCATGCTTCTCATCACTGAATTATAACCCTGTTGTACCTCTTTGCCATGGGACATGCCATGAGACATGAATTCTGTACTTAATATAGTATATTTTTCAAACTTGGATCCTTCATGTGAGAAAACTAAATGCAGCCTTTTGAAGGAAGTGTCTCCACTGTGTGATAAGGGAATAAAAGGGGCTGTTTAAAGTACAGATGTGCACAGTCATACCGATAGGAACTTTTTAACATGGACAGACCTGTAAGTGTGCTTTCCCCAACTTTGAAGCTAACCTTTAACATATTTGTTTTTCCTCATTTCCTCAGAACTTCTTCCCAGAACAGATGGTTACTTGGTGCCAGCAGTCCAACGGCAGTCAGACCCAGCTTTTGCAGGTACTGGACGAAAATAGAGTTTCTGCTGAAATACAGTTTCCAGATAAAAGTCCTCTTGTAACTGTTATGGCAGCTTGTAAAAACTTGAAGAGGCTGGGTCCTTAATCACATATTAACCTTGGCTCTTAGTGGAGTTTAGAGTAACCAGAAATAAATGTGTGCTTGGGAAATCTGTGTGTAGCCAGGCTCCTTCAAAGCGAAATAAGCATTTACACCCAGAATAAACTTGCTGTGACTTAAAAGCAATCTGAATGTTGCCATTGCGGAGCATGGGCCAGGAGGAGGATAAGAGGGAGAAGCTGTGGTCTTAACCGTGCATGGGTTCCCAGGACAGGCCACTGCCCAGCTGCTTGGAAATTTCTACAAAAATACTGAATCTTATTTCAGAGTGAAGAATGATAAGAAAACCACCAAGTCCTTTTTACTTTTATTAAAAAAAATTTTTGTGTGTGTGTGTTTGATTCTGGGGATATGGAACCCAGAGCCTTGTGAATGCTAGGCAAGCAGCGCTCTACCACTGAGCCACACCCTAGTCCCACAAAGTCCTTAGAAGTAACTTACTATACATTAAAATTAAGGAAACTTGTTTGAATTCTTCTTCTGCTTTCTAACGTGTATTCCAGAAAAAAAAAAAAAACCTGGTCTGTCCCCACTCCATTCCAGGGGATGGGGCCAGCAGGGCCTCTGGGCTGAGTGCCGACTCACATTCCTCTTGGGGAGTCGGGAATGTGAAAGGGAATGTAACTGCTGCCCCCCAGACGTGTGTCTGTGTGCAACGTGTCAAAGAGAGAACAAACCAACAGTATCCAGACCTGTGGGGAGGGACGTTGTCTGCTTCTCGTCCAGGGCTGAGGACTCACCAAGGCCACGCCCCGTCTTTTTTCTTCCCCATGAAAGAGAGTGTGTGTGTGTGAGTGTGTTCTAAGATTTTATGCATAAAGCTGCCTATATAAAAGCTGTTAACTGGGACAGTGAGCTGTCACCACGGCGTCCCAGGTACTTCATGGACAGATACCTTTTATGTAACTCCTTTTTGAAAGAACGCAGAGGTAAAAGTGGCAGCTTGGTTCTTATTCTCAATTCTCAGTGTTTCTAATCAGTTGCTGCTGGTACTTGTTCTTCTCCTAGTTCTGATAATCAGATTAGATACTATTTAGAAATCTCGAACAAAGAGCAGAATCCTTAAGTCTTTTGCCTTATAAGGAAATTATAACTTTATGCTTTTAACCAGTGTTAGATTAATTTGCTTGCCTGTGTTTCAGTGTTCATTATATTCTACACAATGCCAATTTATATGGGATTTTAGAGTTTTGAAAGGAGCAAGACCTCAGTTTGACCAAAAAAAAATAATAATAATAATTCAGAAAATGTCAACTGCAACAATAACATTTCCATTTTAATTATTTTACGTTAGCATTATCTGATTTTTTAAAATTTGCTTTTCCTCAGAATTTTCTCAATGCCAGCAGCTGTCCTGAAATTCAAGGGTTTTTGCATGTGAAAGAGCTGGGAAGAAAATCTTGGAAAAAGCTATACGTGTGTTTGCGCAGATCAGGCCTTTATTGCTCTACAAAGGGAACTTCAAAGGTGAGTTTGAAAACCTCCCACCACAAGTACCAATTCTGCCCAGTTACCCCAGGATGATGTGATTAAGAATGAACTTGGGTTTCATTTTAAAATGGATTTTAACCTCTTCCATGCTTTGATAATAAGCTAATTGTGTAAGAATGACAGTTCTGTTGGGCTGCCTCAGAAGCTGGGTGATAATATAGATCTGGGATGGCCTGCTGCATCACTCCTGCACCCCTGGGCTGCTCAGTCCGAGCTCCCGATTATGGGTCGCAAGAAGACCCTTCTGACTACTTAAGTCACTACAAATATTGACTTGTTTTGTAATTTTAGAAGCTGGTATGCAAACTAGCCATAGGATGTTTGCAAGATTATTGCCACCTTAATGCCCTTCTAAGACATGTTGCTATGGACATTTTCTGTAGTCAGTTGCACTTTCTATGTGTGTGCACTTTGGGGAGAGGGGGTGAGAGATGGGAAACAGCTGCAGACCTCAAAACCAAGCAGGTGACGTTATAGACTTCCTATGGGCTCCTCCTGGAGGTCTCCTGTGGACGTTTTGCACATTTGTTCCTACTCTTTTCTTGGGAATGTCTTGCAAACACTCTGCATTAGGAGCTGTGTCCAGCCAAACTTGGCTGAACATTCATCTTTGAAGAGCTACAGTCTCTTCTGCTCTTTCCAGGAGAGAGTGGGGAGCTGGGGGGACCCCAGATGAAGGTGCTGAGCAGCTGTGGCTCTGGGAATTCAGTAGCTGCTAGATGATGTTCTATCTGGGGCGAAAGGGTATCTTCATTGAGTGGCTTTGATCGCCGGCAGGGCAGGGCAGGGCAACTCCTTGACGTCCCAGTTCTGATTTATGGCTTACTCATCATCCTCGTACGTGTTGAAGCCAGGAACAGTTTGTAGCATAGAGCAGGAAATAGGACTTGGCTGGAGAGTTCAGAAGGGCGGGCCAGGCTGTCAGTGTGAAAACTGAAGGCACCATGGGGACTCGAGTACACAGTATGTCATCGGTGGTATGGCCCTGAACATAGAATGTTCTCTTAACTTTGACCTTGGGGCTGCAGGTTTTCTCCTGGGTTTTACTTGAATCATGAGGCTGTGATTTGGCAGAAGCATTGAAACATTCCAATAGTCTTGTGTCTGAGTTTTTGAAAGGTGAGGTTTTTTTGAGTGAGGGCTGTGCAAGTTTGTTTCTCATTTAACATTTAATTCACCCCATGGTCAGAGTCTCTAAAATGCCAGGAGAGGAGTTTGTGTGAGCATGCACAGGCTGTCTTCTGCTTACAAAGATGTGAGAACAATTGTTCTTTGCTGTGCTTGAGATCCGACCTCTGTTTTTGCAGGAGCCCAGACACCTGCAGCTGCTGGCTGACCTGGAGGAAAGCAACATCTTCTTCCTGATCGCGGGGAAGAAGCAGTACAGCGCTCCCACAGACCATGGGCTCTGCATTAAGGTACTCCACCATGAGGCTGTCCAAAGGCTAGGACTGGGAATTTTAATGACTAATTCCTCTCTTGCTCACCATGTGCTTGTTGCTTCTTTTGTTCTTAACAGAAATACAGTTTCATGTTTGCTTTTGACATGTTGATTCTCAAGTAGCTCAGAGCTCAAGAGAAAGTGTTGTGAGTAATGCAGTTGATGGGCTCAATGGCTTAGGACCAGGTGTGACTGAGCTATGTCTGAGCCAAGTATTAGTAGTGGGAGAAGGACAGTCATTGGGCAAGAGACCCCTGGCCTGTCACCTGTAACTTCCAGGTACTGGGTAAGGTAGCATCTTTGGTCATGAGGATAATCAGATAGGAATGACCACAGCACTGCCCACCCTCTGTGTATATGAACGAGCGTGTGTAGACACATGCACAGAAATGCACATGCACATGTGTATACATGGATGTGCACATATACATACACACTTGTGTGCATGTGACCAACAATACACGTGTACTCCAACGAATGTGCTTATACATATATGCACACAAATGCACATACACTCATAATCAAAGATGCACATGTACACACATGCCTGCAGGACCATTTTCTGCCCCCAGTGGGGTAATGGCAACATTGACAATCATAATGATATGAGATCTTTACTGAATATTTACTATGTATGAAATGTTCTACTAATGGTTTCATACCTATTATTTAATCCATGAATACTAATAGAGTAGGAAACCATCCAGTTTCATTGCCCATATTAGGTAGCTAGTCAGTGGTTGTGCTTGGAACTCGCCCCAGTGGGCTAAGTTCTGAGCCAGAGCTCAAGCTTCATTCTGATGGGAAAAGAGAACATTGGGATCCCTTCCTCAGCCTGTATCATAACAGCAGTGCCTTCCTGAAATACCATTAGCAGGTACAGTAGTGCTCCCCTTATTCCTGATACTGATTCTATTGATTCTGATTACCTGTGGTCAACCAGGGTCTAAGTATATTGAATGGAAAATTCCAGAAGTAATTTATAAGTTTTAAATGACACAACATTCTGAGTAGTATGTTGGTGTCTCACACTTTTCAGGCTCTGTCTTGCACAAGATACTGGCCCTTCATCCACCATATGTACATTGTATATACTACCTGCCCGTTAGTCACTTAGCACTCTCTCTGTTATCAGATCTACTACTGCAGTACATATAGTGCTTATTTTCAAATAACCCTTATTTCACTTTAAATAGTGGCTCCAAAGTTCAAGAGTGTTGCCAGTAATCCAGATATGCTGAAGGGAGACCATCAGATGTTCCTTTTAAGGAAAAATATGAAAGTTCTGGACTTATTAAGGAAAGGAAAGAATTATATGCTAAGGTTCCCGAGAGCTATAATCAGAACAAATCTAATACCCATTAAAATGTAAAGAGGGGAAAAGAAATCTGCTACTTTTGCCCTCCCACGCATACTGCCAAAGTCAAAGCCACTGTGGGTTGGTAAGTGCTCAGTTATAGAATTGAAGCTACCATGGATTCAGGTCCCCGCTAGGGGTCTTGGAATGTATCCCAGAGATTAAGTGGAGACCACTATAGTATGAATCTACGTCAGACCAGATAAAAGCCCATGATGACCACAGGAGAGGCTCCTCACCCTTCTTGCTGACCCACACCAGCTACATACTTTTTTCTGCTCCTATTTCTGTACTTACAGGGTGCCCTGAGTGCTTGGCAGTCACTCTCACCCCTGGACCCTCCAGAGTCCTGAAGTGAAAGGCCAAATCAGTGTCCACCCCGAGCACTGTGCTTTGAGTTGCAGCAGGGGATTCACGTGGAAGCCCAGATTAGTTTACCCTGGGACAGGCTTTTCCCTCAGCTCATAGCCCTGCCTCTGCCAGGCAGACCTGTCATTCTTCTGGGTCCACAGGATATGTGACATGCCCCTACCTGCCTTGGGTTGTTTTTTTTTTTTTTTTCCATTTCAGTGCCCTTTCTGCATTGCCCTTCCTCTCTGGACTTCCACTGGGGGGTCCACATTGGGACCATTTTGGCTCTCCATAACCTCTGAGCTCCTTGGGGGCCTCCCTGCTTCCCAGCTAATACACCCAGCCACCTTCTCAGTCTCCCTGGGAGAGTGACTTTGAAGATCTTTCCTTCTGTAACTCAGTAAAGAGGTTGTCCTTCCATAGATTCCAGTACCCCCTCAACAGAGGTGGACATCTCTTCCTGTTTGTTCCATCGTTCTTCACATGCTCATTCCCTCGTGGTGATTTGTTTGGCTGTCTGACTGCTCTGCAGTTCCCAGCTAGGGAAGGGGTATATGCTTCAGCTAAGGAATAAGTAGCTACAACCAGCCCTGGTCTAGTCTGTGTTGTGTGAAAGAGGATTATATCTACCTGGAGGAGAGTGTGCATGTGCTGTGCTCTCTGCATGGATGACCACAGCTGATTGCCTTGGGTTTGAGTGCTGTGCAGCTCTGCCTTGCCATAAAGTGTGCTCCACACTCACCACATTGCACTGATTGGATTTCCTTTTTCCTCCTCTAGCCAAACAAAGTGAAAAATGAAGCTAAAGAGCTGAGACTGCTCTGTGCCGAGGATGAGCAAACCAGAATCTGCTGGATGACAGCGTTCAGACTCCTCAAGGTACTTGATGACTTGCGGTGTGTGGTGCACTTACATCTCCTTGTGGAAAATGAGCAGTCCGACTTAGGGTCTATTCTGGCATGAAAATGCCTGTAACTTTTCCAGTATTCTATCACAGTATGTTATTATTTTCAGATGTAGTTATGCATCCTTCTAAATAAGATCTCAGAGGCTTCTAACAGAGGACTTAATATTTAGAAGATTAGAGCCCAGTTTTCTGACCTCAACACTGTTGACACTTTGCAGGGAATAATTCTTTGCCAGGGAAATTTTGTGCATTATAGGACATTTAGCAGCATTCCTGTTTTTTGCCCCACAACCAGTTGAGACCACCAAAACACTTCTAGACATTTCCACATGTCTCCTGAGGGCCCAAGGGTGAGGAATTGCCCCTAACTGAGAATTACTAGGTTACAGGTAATAATAGATATATTATTCCATTCTTTTTGTTACTGTTACAAAATACCTGAGGCAGGCTATCTTATAAAGATAACAGATTTATTTAGCTCCTATTTCTGAAGGTTCAAGGGTATGGTACTTGCATCAGCTCAGCTCCCGTGAGAGGTCTTTTGGTTGTATCATTGTCATTGCGAAAGATAATGACAGAAACACACATGGCAAGAAGAGATTGCATCTCCAAACAGGAAGACGGGGAACCTGGGGTGCCATACATCCTCTTTAAAGACATACTCCCAAGATCTTCTCACTAGACCCCACCTCCGAAAGCACCACACTGGGAATAAGCCTGCGACACAGCTCTTTTCAGGACCAACCATATCCAAACCATAGCAATAGATGAGACAGGTCACTTATTTTCATGGCTGAGTAGACTCAACTTCCAAAAAGCCAGGGCCATGAGAAGAAGCATGACCCCAAACTGTATGGTTCACCATAGCTAATATCTCCTGACCAGTTCTAAAAGAATTTATTAAATAAAACCTTACATGAGACAGTGCCCTTGGTGACAATCATAGTAATTGTCAAAGTGATGTCCTATAGCTCTTTACTAAAATCACCTAGTAAAGCTACAAACAGAACGGTGAAAGCACCTATCACATTGTTTCCTCAGTGTTTCTTTTCACACACACACACACACACACACACAAATATTAAAACAAAATTTTACTGATTCACAATAGAAAAGGAGAGGGTATTATTATAAGATATTACAAATCATAGTTTGATTCTTTCTAAGCCAGGTTTAAGTCTGTCATCAATGGGGAACTGGTTAAATTTAAGTTACAGGATGTCAGTCATTGAGAGGAACGCTCGGTAGCTGTTAAAAGAAAGGTTGGTCTCTGTGCTCTGTTGTGGAAAAACTATTAACAATCAAAATGAGAAGTGTAGAACAGTATGTATAGAATGCACTACATTGGTGTGAAGAAGAAAGGGAGTAAAAATTGAAGTGTGTGTTTGTATTTGCTGTCGTGCATGCATATGTATGAGACTGTGGGGGGAGAAGACATTACAATCAGCTGGGCAGAGGGGCGCAGAGGCCACAGTGGAACTTTGACATTTTTATATGTTTGTTTGTTTTACTCCATCAATGATTAGTTTATTTTTAAAAAGGCAAAAAGGAAAATCAGTAAGTTCTTAACCATTGTACCATGAGTAAAAACAAACAGGTGCCAAACCATAGCTAGTCACAGGAAGGGAAGTGGCAGTATTGTCTCTGTCATTAGCACTAACAGTGATGTATTGTGTAGTGTTAATGTTAATATAACGTCATTAACATTTGTTGAGCATTTACCATGGGCCAAGCGCCTTCAGCCCTGTTACATCCATTACCTTATCTCCTCCTCACAGTAGCTTTATGACATACATATCATTATCCCATTGTACAGATGACAACTCGAAGTCCTGAGGTATAGCTACTGGATGGATGGGTCAGAGCCAGGATGAGAGTTCAGTGCTTGGGCTCCTGAATCCCTTTCCTAACTACCATGATTTCTTCCTTTTCTTCTTTAAGAGACCCTGGGAAGCTGCAGATCTAATTCTACATGTAGTCCTGGTGTCCCAGCCATTTCAGGGGTATTAGTTTAATCCAGAGACCCAGATTCCAGAGGCCTTCAGGATAAAAAACTACCATTTTTGAGGAGGCTGGGAACTTAGACTTTGCATAAACATGGTAGTGGCAGCCATGAGGGCCAATTTCCAGTGCTGTGAGAGTCACTGTCCTAACTAGTTACACTCCAAGGTCTACTATCATCTTGAGCAGGCTTCAAGATGTCAAAAATTATGTCTTGTCTTAGGACATTCTGAAATGTCTCCTCCCTCCTGGCCCCCTATCAAATGGTCTTAATCAAAGAAGAAAAAAGCACAAGTAAGAGTTGAGATTCTAAGGGAGATGCCTCCTTCTCCATGTTGCCCGTAGAACAAGGTGTTTTATGCTCCAGGAATTTTTGCTATATGAAGCCAGGGAAGAAACCTGCTAAAATGCCTTCTGCATCTTGTACCTGGTATTTGCACAGGGTGGCTTCTAAGACGGTGTGTTGACCTAGCCCATGGTCATGAGTCTTCTCATTGGGGTGGGTCATGGCTTCACAGCAAGCTACAGAGAGCAGGACCAGGCAGGATCCACAAACCGTCCCTCCTGGGCTAGTACTGTGTTCAGTCAGGGATCAGGTTAGCATTTTGACTGATTCACCTCCAAAATTCTGAGGGCAAAGACTTCTTAGAGCACAGAACACAGCAGAGCTCAGAAAATTATAATGGAGTCAAAGCGGGAACCAGCCTACCCATGCACCTCTGACTCTTCCTCATTTGATGTGGTATCTCCCTCTTGGATGCTGGATATCATGGACAGAGCGAGAATCTACCTGAGATGGGTGCAGCAGGTCACCAGACAGGGAGCTTAGACTGGAGACTCTGTGAGAACCCCTTTTGGGCCTCCACAGTGTGACACCAGCATAGACTAAAGTAACATTGGGTTGAATATTTTTATGGTGGATATGCAGGTCTTCTCTGTAGTAAGTGATGAGAGGTCCTTGTCGGCTTCAGCCCCTCAAACACACTTGTCCCCTAAAAGTGCATCAGATGTTTTATGTCCTTACCTGGAGAAGTAGATGACATGAGGGGGATTATTTCTTTGGGAACAACTGTCAAAATGGAGACCCTGGAGTCTTGAATCATAAAGAATTACCTTCCTACTCTGCCTAATTATATCCAGGTATCCTTTCTGTTTAGTGGATAATAATCAATGCCAGGAATATTGAAATAGCAGTTTTATTATTTAGAAATCCTTTATGGAAGGAAAACCTTACTAATTTAAATTAACCCTAAGACCTTCATACATCTGTAGGTGCTTGCACAGAGACAATTTTCTTTAAACAAATAAGTCTTGTATCTTGTGTATACCCAGGAAAAGCCTAATAGGGCTCCACTCAGCTTTGCAGGAAGATGCTATTGGAACACAGAGCAACAGAAAATAATCAGGTTCCTCATTTCTTCATAGTACATTGTTAAGTAATTTCTTGGATATAGTAGGGTCTGTGCAGGGAGTGTTAAAACTTAATAACAGTTATCTGTTACCTCCTCCCTTTGTCTTCTAAAGTTTCTTAAACTGCTATAGAAATTCATCCCCTAAAGGGAGGTCTCGCTTCATCAATCCAAGAATCTATAATTGTGATTGCTTTGGTTTTAAATGAGCTGACACTAGAAAGGCAATTAAATTAGATGTTCAGCAGAAAGGCAGACTGCTGAGAAACCGGGCACATTCTCTTGCACTAATGCTATTAAAATACAGCAATGTGTGTCTGGAACAAAGAGAAAATTCATGGCAACCATGGGAAGCAGTGTGCTAAATGCAGAGAACAGAGTCATCTCAGCATACTGAAAAAGTTGTGCAGAACAAAAGTAAACCATCCACATACTGAGTAACTCTGTTGGGTGCTTACTCTATGCCAAGTCCAAGGCCAGGAGTTTGACATACTTGATTTTGCTTAATCCAGTGAGGGAGGACTTGGGTCTCAGTACAGATGAATTTTGATGAAGTTGAGGGTCTTGTGATGGTTGAGGATCCCCGAGATGGGAGCATCTTCAGAGTTATAGTAAGACTTGCATAGCTCAGTGTGTCCTCAGCCCCTCTCCTTTCAATGATACCTACGTGCTGCACACTCACACCAAGGTCACAGACTATTTGGATGCCAGGATTTTGACCTGTGGTTCCCAAAAGCCAGTCCTCTAACAGTGAGACCCTCATCTCTGTATTCCATGATGTAGCAAAATAGACAAGATCCAATGTAAAAAGCTATACGTGAGCCTAACTGTGCTCATGGTAAAGAACTTAACTCCTTGAGTCTGAGATTATGTATACCTCACTTAGTGTTGATGTCCTTTATTTTATAAAATTTTGATATCAAGTAATGGGTTTGGGTTAATTTTTATGTGTATGTTAATTGTCTTACTTGATAAATTTAATTGCTGAACTTAAGGCAACGATGGCTTTTTTTTTCCTTCCCCAAATTTTTATTTCTTTTTTAAATCTAAAAGTGTGAGAATCCTTGGTTTAGAAGAAGATCTTCTTCCCTGTAAGAGGATCTTTCAAATCTAATGGGTCTCAAAGTTTTTTGTAGCAGGATTTGTCCCCATTTCAAGGCAAAATCTCTTAAAATTCTCCAAAATGCAGGATGGATAAAAAGGTTGATCAAATGATGTGATATTTCAGATTATTCCTAATTAGCAAACATTCCTCAGTGTCATTGGCTTATAGCTCCTGCTGCTGCCCTGCTTGAATCTGGCAGGTAGAGAGCAGCTGCCATCTTGAACATTGCCCACATCCAATATGGCAAAAGGAAACGACAAAAATCCAGGAAGGTTTTGCATCCCCAGTCAACTACTTGACTGTAAATGATATGTCACTTTATGCACTGTCATTGGTCTGAGCTAGGCACATGGATCCATGGAACTGCAGGGACCCAGGAAACCCAAGCCCACTTGGACATAATGGATTTCCTGTCTATTCATATCCATCTTAATGAGTATATGTCTCCTGCACAGATAAATCCCCCTCATGTTAGTGCATCTTAAATTCATTTTATGTTCCTGGAGTTTACTGTCATTTCATGAATCATTCTTTGACCATGACTTTGTTTTATCTTTTCAAAAGAAAAAAACTTACGTATGGCCTTAGTTAAGAACAGAGAAGTCACATGTATAATTAATTTTAAGGTAATGGAATTTTTTCATTTTAGGTAAGTGTAGCATCCTGTGATTCTTCAGTGTTTATGAAAAGAATTAGAAGTAGGAATTAAAGGGAAGCTATTAGTATACAATAGATACAAAGTAAAATAGACTCCTTTCATTAGATCCCAAAACTCAATCCCATTTGTAATTTTAAACTCTTAGGAATTTGTTTATGTCATTTATATTTTTAACATTACTTATTTTGCTAACATACTGTATGGGGAGAATGTTTTTTACCATGGCAAGATATTGACTGTGTTTAGCCAAGTGTTGCCACTATCCTTATTGCAGAAACATTTCTATAATTGCTTTACAGACACATGCAAAATAGCCACTGTTGCCTTTCTTCTTTATTGAATCTGAACATTCAATTAAATGAGGATAAGAAATAAGAAATCTGTATTGCAAAAGAAGGAGAAACATTTCTGGAGTCATACTGTCTCTGAAGCAGTTGAAGAAAGTATAAAGAAAAAAAACATTAATTGGATTATACACATATATTTAAAATCCAGTCAACTTAAATAAAAAAAAAAAAAGAAAGTAGAAGAAGGTAACTTTATGATAGAGCTGATATACAGTAAGTTAATATCTAAACAATATTAAGATTACATATAAATAAATTACTACCATCTAGGCCTTCATATTTCTAAATTGAAACAACATAAATTAATAGTCTTAGGATGCAGATAATAAATGAAAAACATTCAAATTTCTTAGTAATTGAAAACAAATGTAGATATAATCAAATAAAATATCATTTTATGCCAACTTAGAGACAATATTAAACAATTTATGGATCAAAGATGAAATATGGAAGAAAATTAGAGTGTGTCAACTGAATAATCATAAATATAACTAAATCACAACTATAAAACTTTAGAGGCAAATTTTTTGTCTTAAGTAAATAAATAAATATATTCGTAAAATAAGGCTTAAAACCAATGATCTAAGTATCTCATTCAAGACATTCTATAAGGGCAATCAAATTAAAACCAAAAGAAAAGGAAGGGAAAGTTATTAAATATAAGCCCAGAATTCATATTTATTACCTCTCATCTGAAATATGAAAACAAAAGCATTTTGGCTTTTGAACTTTGTTTCAGATTTTGCAGTATTTGCATATGCATAATGGGATATCTTGAAGATAAGACCCAAGTCTGAACACAGAACTCTTACATGTTTTACATACTCTTGTATACATAGCCTAAAGGTGATTTTATACAATAATTTTAGTACACCTGTGTTTTAACTATAACTCATCATCACGTGAAACTAGGTATGGAATTTTTCACTTGGGGCATGACGTTGGTACTCAAAAGATTTCAGGATTTAAAGCATTGTGGATTTCAGATTTTCAGGTTAGGGATGTTCAGCCTGTATGAGTGTTTGTGTGTGTGCATGCATGTGCACAGTGCACTGTGTGCAAGTATGGGAGACTCTTGGGACCAGCTTCAATTTCATTAATTTGTTGGGACTCAGAATTCAGCAAAGCTTTTACATTCATGGTATTACATTAAGCAGATGCAAGTCAAAATTGGCAATGGGAAAATGTGTGTGAGAAGGACCCGAGAGAGTTCCAGGTAGGAGGTTCCAGTTGCCCTCTCTTAGAGAAGTCATGTGCACAGTACTTGCTTCTTCTGACAAAGATGTGTGCAAACACACAAAGATTTGCCAACCAGAGAAGCTTACCCAAGCCTTGGTGTAATAGTTGGCCATATAGATGTGGCTGACCACCTATGTGTCTGTCCTTAGTCTGCAGCCCTTCCAAAAATCAAGTTAATATGTGTGGTCCAAAGTCCCAGCATAAATCACATTGTTATTGTACTATGTGGCTTAGCCAAGCACCCCAGTTAAACCCAGTCATTTCTTTCAGGCAGGACATTCCAAAGACTTAGAGATCACCTTCCAGGAGTGGGGTTAGACAGGGGATTTTTCCTTGTGCAAGGTTACCAATCCATTACTTCTGTCTCTTTCTCTATCCATTTACACACACACACACACACAGTTGGCATTCTATATCTAGTTTATGCATCTTTGTATTCAACCAACTGCAGATCAGAACTGTTCTTTAAAAAAAAATTTTGGGGGGGTGTTTATTACTGAACATATATAGATAGATAGATTTCTTGTGATTATTGCCTAAATAATGCAGGACAACTTTTTACATAGCATTTGATATTAGATACTTTAGATAATCAAAAAATGATCTAAAGTGAGTAGGTTATTTGCAAATACTACACCATGTTCTATAGGCGACTTTTGCATCCATGGATTTTGGTATTTGCAGTGGATCTTGAAACCAAACCCCAGGGGATACTGAGGGATGACTGTATATATGTACATGAAAATATGTGAATAAGTTGAAGTGTGTCTGTTATTAGTGCCCAAATGTTTAGGATATTTATGTCTTCCTGGTAAATCAATTCTTTGTCATTATGAAATACACTTCATTATCCCTCGTAATGCTCCATGCCTTAATGTTTAATTTGTCTAATATTAATATAGCTTTGTTTTGATTAGTGTTTGCATAGTTTGTTTTAACCATATTTTTTGATTAGTGTTTGCATAGTTTGTTTTAACCATATTTTTTCAACTTTCTGGGTCCTTATGTTTAAGGAATATCACTGATAAGCACCACATCTTATTCTTTACTGAATAATCTTCATTTTTTAACTGGAACATTTATTTTAATTTAATTGTATCATTTAATGTGATTATTAGTATTTGTATTTGAATCTACCATTTGCTAGTTGTTTTCAAGTTGTCCCTCCTCTCCTTTTTCTCTTGTTTGGATTTGCCAAGTAATTTTATTTTATTTATATTTTTTCCTCTGTTAACTTATCTCTTAGATATTCATTTATTGTTTTCTAGTGGTTAACCTAGACATCACAACATGCATCTTTAACTTATTATATTTTTTTATAATTTATAATTTAGTCCTTTTTCAACTTTCAGGTTAGCCTAAGGACTTATCCATTTTCCCCATTGCTCATTTTGAAATGTTTTTATTATGAATATTAATTCTGTATATATTTAAAATGCCTTAAGAAATTTTGCTGTTTTGTTTAATATACTCAATTTTTATTTTAATCACTTCCATATCTGTACTCTAATTTTTCTTGAATTTGCATTCTTCTTTTTGGGACTAGAAGAACTCAGCCTAGCAATTTTTTTTTTAGTATGGGCCTTAGAAATTTTTTCAATTTTTGTTTCACCTACATTATTGAAGGAACTTTTCTTGGTTGTGGCAGTTATTTTCTTCTGCGTTTGCTCCCATTCCATTGTCTTCTGGATCTCATCATTTGTACAAAACTGTCAGCCGTCTATCCTCTAGTGCTTCTGTGAAAATAATGAATGTTTTTCTCTGGTTGCTTTTTACATTTTCTTTTTTTTTTTTTTTAATAGCAGTCTTCCCATGATGTGTCTGGGTGTTAATTTATTTATCTTACTCTTTGAATCTGTTGCTTGATGTCTTTTTGTTGATTTTGGAAAATTCATGACGACTGTCACTTTGGGTTATTTCTTCTGACCTGTTCTCACTCTTCTCCTCTCACGGGAATGCAATTATACCTATGTTAGACTGTTTTGTCATGTTCTAAATGTTTTTATTTTAGAAATGAGTACATACTGTAGGACCTAGAGCTGGATCGGAGCTTACGTCCCCTGAAGGAATGTCAAGAGGAAGATGCACTCTGCTTGATAACTTTGTTTCCTCTTCCTGATTCTTTTATCTTCCAAGTGGGTGGTGTGAGCCAGTAATTTGGGAGTGTTGGTTGGGATGTTGGATGTGTGTAAGACTTTTCAATGCCCTGGGTACTTATTACCAAGAAAAATAAAGCACAAACTGCTGAGCCGGTTAAGCAGTAAGCCTGGTAGTCAGGGGAATCATTAGCTTTGGTACATTCAAATTCTAAATCATTACTTTCCTGAGACCTTGGGTTATTTGCTTCATTCCTCTGTGCTTCAGTTCCATAATCTGTAAAATGGGGAAAGTTATAGTACATAGCTCACAAAATGGAGATGGTTAAATGAAAATAATACAACAACCATTTAAGACAGTACTTGGCCCATAGTAGCACTCAGTGAGGTTAATTCTTCTTGATCCTATTATTATAATTGCATTTGTCACTGTCTTGTATATTCCCCTTCCAACATTCCAAAACCAGTCAGTGCTCATCTCCTGCAGTGTAATAGCAGAACTGAGACAGAACTGAGAGAAGTGCGCCATCTTGAATGTGCTTCGGCTTGTGGGGGCTGTTAACAATATTTTTCATTGTTCTGTACTCAACATTGCCCTTCCAAGCCTTGGCATTTTCCATGTGCTGGGACCTTGGGGCTCCTACTACCCTCCTGGTGCTGACTTTTATCTTTCTCTTCAGTATGGAATGCTCCTCTATCAGAACTACCGCATCCCTCAACAGAGAAAAGCCTTGCTGTCTCCCTTTGCTACACCAGTGGTAAGTACAATGCTGGCCTTTCCTAGCTCAGAAGCCTTTTCTGCTGCTGTGTCTCCGTGTGTTGTAGACAGCATTTCACAAGAACTGGTAAGGGAAGCTCCAGAAAGAGTGAACACATTCCAAGGAAACCAGTGTGTCTCGTGCATTCCATTTTCCAGAACACGAATCTTGTACTTCAATATCATGCTTCAGGGAAGAAATTTCTCTATCATCCTTCTCCCAACCCTACATCTTAACTCAAGGTTGTTAGGTAAATAACTCCATGTGCTAAAAATACCAACAGCAACTTCCAGCTCTAGAGGAGCATCCTCTTCTGCCTAGGATTTTGTTCCTTCAAGCCATGGGACCCATAGGTGCTGTTGGCCATTATGGTGAGATCATTCCTTGGTTAGAAGTGAGACATTATTATTATTCCTTTTGTGTCTTCAGTATGTGATTTGCTTCCCAGAGACACAGAAACATGTTGTGGCTTCAAAATATGATCTTAAAGATCCTTCTTTGTCTGTTCTGTTGAGATGGCGGATGACTCCATCGAGAGTCCAGTATTACTTGTCCTGAGCTAACACACCTGAGAATGGCATCTACAGCTGAGGGCTAGGCTCACCCTGTGTTTTCATGTCTTTGATGTGTTTAGCACAGGTTAGGAAACCAGTAAAGGGCAGTGCAGTCCATAACCTACTGGTGTCAGGAGACCTTGCCAGCAGCCTATGAATACTATGAGAAGACAGGATCATTTTTTATTCTTAAGAAAAATCAAAGCCATTTTTAGCCCAAGGTGCCTCTGAATTTTCAACCTGAATCTGTGGATCTTTATCCTGAATCAGGGGTTTAGAAGTGGAGATAGGGCACCCTTTCCTGGCTATCTTTATGATCATTTCATGCCAAAATTTCCCTCTGTACTGATTTCCTTGCTTCTTACAAATTTGTGGCTTTTTCTTTCCAGCGCAGTGTCTCTGAGAACTCCCTCGTGGCAATGGATTTTTCTGGGCAAACAGGAAGAGTGATAGAGAATCCGGCTGAAGCCCAGAGCGCTGCCCTGGAAGAGGGCCATGCCTGGCGGGTAAGACCATGGCCCCAGTCCAACAAGAAGAGGCTCCCTTGTGGGTGGTAGCGCCCCCTGCATTTTCTGTTCTTCCAAAAGTATGGCTCTGTGGTGTTGGCAAGGGAGGGGATGCTTGTAAGGAACTGCAGGAAGCAGTTGACCCCTCTGAGTCCTCCACGCGTCCAGCACCCAGCCAGCCCCCACTGCCTCCCTATGGATAGGATCCCATGGAAGGGGCAGAGAAGAACAGAACCTTCTACCTCTTTGGTTCATGGGAAGAACTATTATTGTTGATGCATTTTTAGCAACTGTCTGTGTAGGGCACCGAGCCTGTCCTGAATGAGGCCATTGGGCATACCGGGGGTGGGGGGGCTGTACCCAAATAGTTCCTTCATCTTTGAGGCTCAAGTTCTAAATCTCCAGATGAGAAGAATATCACCTGTCTTTCAGCTGAGTCTTTAAAGATCATGTGTAAAATATAAATCCAGGACCCTGGCTTAGAAAGAATTCCCAGTAGTTTGAAAAAAGGAGAAAGTTCCCAAGTATGGGAATTCTCAAGACCCATGTTTTGAGAACTGCCTGAGTTTACCCAAGCTCATGCTTCTCTGCTAAGATTTTTTAGGATTTCTATCATACATCTTCTATGTGAGAAGCAAGTGTCTCTGTTTCAATACCCGGATGGTTGGAAATGCACCATTATGCTTTTGGTTTGTTTTTAACCACCACTGTGATCCATGTGTTCTTCATCCTTGGTGATCAGACAGGGTCTTCACATGATGCCTGGCATCCTGGTCAGCTACTCACTCTGAGGTGGGAAGTCAGGTGACTTGTTGTGCATCAGTCTGTTTTCTTCAGTGCTAATATGGGCATTTCTTTTGCAGAAGAGAAGCATGAGGATGAATATCCTGGGAAGCCAAAGTCCCCTTCATCCTTCTACCCTGAGTACAGGTAAGCATGACAAGTTGCGTAATGTTGTTGTATAAAAAGAAAATTAAACAGGCCTCACCCTCCACCACCACTCCCCCGCCCACCCATACCCTCCACTCCCCGAACTTTACATTGTTGCCCAGGCCTGGAATGCACCACAGAGGTACAGCTGTGGGAGTCAGGGCTCTGGGTTATGTTCTCAGGGAAGCCACTGTGCAGAGATGTCACCTTCCTCACCTCCTCTCTTACCCCTACAGTGATTCACAGGACTCAGCATTGGTTTCATGGCAGAATCACCAGAGAGGAATCACACAGGATCATTAAGCAGCAAGGCCTCGTGGATGGGTAAGGGACCTCCACTGATAAGAGCTGTCATCTGTTGAGCTCTCATTTCGCTGGGCGTATAATCTGTTTCTCAAACATCTTTGTAAGATAGGCAGTAGTTTTATCCTCATTTTAAAGAGGAGAAATCTAGGCTCAGAGACTGTAGAAGTTGTGCAGGGCTTGCCCAATTAGTGAGGGGCACAGGGGATTCTAACCCATATCTGTCCAGATTATATCTAGAATTTTCCTCTACCTCTTAGATGAATTTTGAGTAGGAGAAGAATGCAAAGGTAGTTGTTTTTACTTTCTTGGTAAGTGGACAAATAGAAAAAAAAATGTTTTTGCCTGTACATCTTGATTTATACACATTGTTGTTATTTTTACCTTAGCATGCAACAAGGAAGGAGAGAGAACTGTACTCACAAGTGACAAAATATATATGCCCCAGAGGCACATCCACAGTGACCCTCCTTCTCCAGCCACATCCTACGTGCCTATAGTTACCAGCCAGTTAATCTCCATCAGGGGATTAATGAACCAATCAGGTTAAAACTCTCCTAACCCAGTCATCTAAACTTTCTTGCATTGTCTCACACCTGAACTTTAGGGGATATCTCATATCTAAACCTTAACACATATTTTTCATTCGCTGTCCTGAGGATTGTCCCATGGCAGCACATAGAAACCTTCCTCATTTCTATTCTATTCTCAGGTTCTCTTTTATGTACATAGAACATGATTTTTTTTTTTTCCAGCCGGTCCCCTATGTTGTGACAAACAGTGCTGTATCATTTCATAATTTTACTGGTGTCTCTTTGCTGGTGAGTTGTTCAAAGGGGGATTTTTAGGTGGAAAGCTTACATAATATTGTGAAGTAGCTCTCAGTTCTCCTCCGCAGGGTTTGTGTCACATGGTCATACCAGCAGAAGCATATGAGTGACTGTTTTCCCATAGCCTCCTCCATCAGAGAGAAAAGCTGTAATTTGCACTTCTCTCATAAAGCAGACTGAGCCTCTTTCCTTGTGCTTAAAAGCTATTTGGATTTCTTACTCTTTTTGTAGTTCTGAGCTGTTTATACTTTTTATCCATTTTTCTAATCCATATTTTTTAATTGCAAATGCTTTTTTATTTTTTTTTTACTCTTAAATCATAGAGGAGTTCATTTATGTTATTTTCTAGTACTGGTATTGTTCCTCATTTATTGTTTTTTTTTTGTTTCTTATTGTTATTACATATATTATATGTTATTATATTATCATTACTATTTTCATCATCATTATTATTTAGATTCCACATAGATTTGGAGTTTATTTATACTTAGGTATTATATAAAGAATAGGTCTCATTTTTGTTTCTCAGGTAGCTATATAATTGTTCCAAAGCTAATTACTATAGGTAATTAATAATTGATAATCACCTGTGTCATGGAGTATTCTCTTTTAAACCATTATAAATAACTCCTTTCTTATAAAAAAGTATGCTTCTCCTCTAAAGTTACTGGCATACTTGAGGAGTAAAAAGCCTAACATTTGAAATTTCTGTGACATTTTAAAATTTAGGGATAGATGTGTATTTTCTTATGCCCATTTATAACTGTGAACCCCCTTCAACTGTTGGCCTCTTGAATGTTCTAGGCATGTCCCAATTAACCACAGTGTCTGTGGGGTTCATTAAGGAGGCTGAGCCAGTTCACGTGCCAGGTGACATCACACTGTTGTGTAGTGAAGGCTACACAGGAGGCTCATTGTGATGCTATATAGGGCCAAGAAGCATGTGTCCACTGGCCTAACAGACGTGCAGATAACGGCTAGTCCAGCTCTGACACAGGGACAGCTCGTGGGCTAGTTTCAAGGTTTAGGGAAGAAATGTGTTTCAGACAACCCATCTCTAATCTTTACTGATCCCTGCAGAGTTAATGAAGGCAAGTCAATTTAGAATGTCAAACAATGAAAAGGAAATAACTCTGAAAGACAGGGCAAGAACAGCTAAGGCAATAGAGGGATATTTCCTGTGGCTTGAACCTGAAGTGATATGTGGAGTTAGAGAGCAGGGCCAGAAAGAAAGAGACATCAAAGCCTTATAGGACCCCACAAATATTCTTGAGGTCCCCAGCAGCCTCCCTCTATGTGACCGAGCATGCCTATGTGTGCGAGTACAAACTCTGGTGTCCACCAGTCCTGCACAGAGCTCACTGCTGGGTTCCTTCCTGTCCGTCTCAGAATCATCAGGAGAAGTATCTTTCCAAGGATATATCTAGCTCTCTCCACTCCTGTGCCAGCCCCCTCAGGATATAAGGACACCTCCCTCTCTCCCACCCCCACATTCCAGCCTAGCCCTCCTGGGCTCTTGACATGAACATCAGTCCCCATGCTGCCTGTCATGCTGCCTTTCTGTCTGCCCTCCATGCATTGAACTTGTTGGAAGGAGGTTTCTTCGGTGAGACTTGGGTTCTTTAAAGCTTTCCCTTCCCCCAAAGGACTCACACAACACCTTGAGCAGAGGAATGCTTTTCCTGCTGGACCAGGGACTCTGCCAGCACTGGCATAGTGACCTCGAGGTGGTTGCTTGATTTCTCTGTGCCCCACACCCCTCATCACAAAATGAGGATGACAGGGTCGTTATGAGGACTAAATAAATTAATACAGCTATAAAATACTTGAGGCAAAAGTCCCTTATAATTGTGAGCTGGAATGTTACCTGGTTACCATCATCACCTAGCCCAAAAGATTTGCAATTCTTTTAGGGAGTGAGTAAGCCATCACTGTCCTCCTCCATTCTTCATACCCTGGTTCTTGTTGCTCTCCTTCCTGGGTCCTGTTCAGGACTTCCTAATCTCGGTAGCAATGTCTAGACATGCTTGGCTTCTCCCTGCCTCTTCCCTGTGATGGTCGCTCTTTGGCATCACTGGATCCCCACAGTGTGCTGCTTGCAATGACTTGATACGTCAAGCCACTGTGCAGGATCTTCTCCCCAGTCCTGCGGGAGAGGTTTTATTGCAGACGAAGAAAGAAACACTAAGAAGGCATGTGACCCAAGATTGTGAAGCTAGGAAGTGGCAAATCCAGGATCCTTGCTAACTTGACAGCCTCCTCCATATTAGTGATCATCTCAGGTGGACAACCTTCAGGCAGTGCCTGTATAAATCCAAGTGTTTGGGTAGACCCTGCACACCCCACCCCAAACTGGGGGACAGAGAACATATGTCTGCCGCCTGCTCCTCTCAGGGGTGATCAGGATGAACAGGCATAGGTTGTATGTATGTGTTTGTCTGTAGTTTTCTTTCTGTGGAAGGAAACAGGTAGTCATGTAACAGAGAAAGGGGCAGCCCTGTCTTTTCCTCAGATTAGATCAAGCTCCTGGGATTCTACCCTGTAACCGTATTTTATTGGTATGATATGACTCTGGGAAAAGAAGAGGGATCATCCAGGAGAGGACCCAGAGCTTCCTGTTCTCTCTCTTCCTGTGGAGTATGTTCTGCACCTGGGGGACCCGTGGTTCTTAGCACTGTCTGTTCCAGCCTGACTGGGCCAAACGGTAGAATTCAGATCTGGGTGGTGATTCTCAAAGGATATTCTGAAGAGTACAAGTTGCTGCAAATTTTTTTTATAAAAAGGGATTGGGTAGTTAGGTTAGACTGGGATACTCTTTGTGATAGAGCCCTTAGAGAGTTATGATGGATATTTGCATTTTAAGGATCTGAGAAGTCCTATAGAAAAAAAGAATCTGTTTTGTCTTTCAAGTAGGGATTTTCCAGTCCTATTTAGCTGCTTTTCCATCTTTAACATTTACAGTCTAGAAACTGGAGATTTAGCTGATTAGATTCAATGATTCTATGCTTCTTTATGCTATTCCCTGTATTATTTTATTTTGAAATAATTTCAAGGTTGTAGAAAAGTCACAAAAAATAATGCAGTGATCTGGTACCTACTTCACCCAGATGTCCCATCTGCCAACGTAGTGGCACATTAGCTTTATCATTCTTTTCCTGTAATATTTTCCCCCAAACCATTTGAGAGTAAATTGCAGCTTGATGCCCCCTGAGTCCTAATTATTTCAGTGTGAAATTTCTAAGAACAAGTACTTTTCTTACGTAACCACAGTGCCATTATAAAATCAGGAAATGAGCTTCGTTGAAGTTGTATTATCTACTCCAGACACTGATTCAAATTTTACTCCTACTCCTGATTGTATCCTTCGTAGCAAAAGGGAGGAAAAATATCATAATCCTGTATATTCTCATTTCCTAGAACAGGTGTTTATAATCTTGACCTTGTCTTAAGTAGAAGCCAGTTCTTAGTAATGTATTGTTTTCCACTAGACTGTGTACCAAGGACTAAAATGGGGATATGCATTTTGGGTAGAAACATCCCAAGTGCATGATGTGATATCACCTTCAACACATCCTATCAGGAAGCACTTGAGATCTGTTTGCCTCATTCCTGGTGGCAGTAATTTGAACAGTTGATGAAGAAGGTCTTAACCTGGTTCTGTGCTATTTTCCCTTTTCTGTAATGCTTTCTCTTTTGTTAAAAAATAAATATTAGGAGTAAGATACTTTGAGATTATGAAAAACATTCTGTTTCTCATCAAACTTTCATCTGCTGGTTTTAGCATCCATTGAAGGTGGTCTTAATCAATTGTTACTTGGGTAGTTGCCAAATGGTAGTTCTTCCATCCGTCACTCCTTGATATTCTCCTCTAAGGACAAACTTTTCTTTCACCCCTGCTAATTTATTTGCACATTTGTTTCTAATTCCTATGGATTTGTGGATTCCTGATATATTTTATAGGTTATAATCCAATGCTTCTGTGATTTATTTTGATGCCCAAATTTAGTCAACCTGCCCCCTGTGTCATTTTGACATGTCCCCACCATTCTTTGTGCACTTTCTGACTTTCCAGCACAAGATGTTCCAGCTTCATCTTGCAGTTTCCCAGTCTTCTCCCTGGAGTCAGTCACATTCCTAAGAATTCCTGGTTCCTTTCAATGTAGAATGACATTTCAAAAGTACCCGATGGGTGTTATGGCTGATGTTGCCACTCAAGGCCACTTGAAAGCCAAAGCACTAAAGCATCAGGGTTTCAAGTCCATGTTATTGAACAGGGCTAGGAGGTGTGTGTGTGTGTGTGTGTGTGTGTGTGTGTGTGTGTAGTTTGGGATTTTAAACGTCATTCACAATTCATTGCTGATTTTTCATCCCCCAGGCTTTTCCTCCTCCGTGACAGTCAGAGTAATCCAAAGGCATTTGTACTCACACTGTGTCACCACCAGAAGATTAAAAACTTCCAGATCTTACCTGTAAGTAGTGACATTTTTAAATCAATTCTTGCTTTTGGGCTTTCTAGTTTCATTCTTCATTCAATTTTTAAGTTATAAACCAACGAGGAGGTTTCAAACAACTTGCAAGAGTTTTTGTAGAAGTTTGTTTTTCAATCTTAGGATGTTTTTCCTACAGATGATGCTGGAAGTGTTTATCTGTGCTGGGGCTTCCCATGTGCCTTTTAGCTCATAGGTATAACCGAAGGGGCCACCTGACTGGGAGGATCAGCAGATAGGAGAATGTAGGGGATGATGAGGACCAAAGAGCTAGGTGGCCCTGAGCACAAGTATGTAAAAGACAGGTGGTGAATAGCAGGTTTGACCCTTGACCATTTGCATCTAAGGAATTGTCTAATTAGTGCTGGTATATAGTGGAGCTACTCAAGAAAATTGTAGAAAAACTCACTTACGGTCAAGTGCCCCCCCAAAGAGAAACTGTTCCTCCTTGCACCTGGCTATCAGACCAGAAAACCTTTGAACTACCAGAAACCTTTTGAGTTTACCTTTGAACTGTCCTGCCACATCATTACAGACGGCCTTTTGTTGTTATTGTTATTGTTGTTGTTGTTTGAACCAAGCAATTATTGTTATACTTTCTAATGTACTTTAACTCTTCCTTCACTATGCCAGAGTTTAAATTCTAGTTCATGATTTTTGTGTTACTTCAGCACTTCCAGGAACTCAGTTTAGGTAGGAATACAATACACAAAATTAACATCAAATGTTTCACATGCAATTCTGGAGGTAAGGATAACTTCTATAAAATATCTCCTGTGGAACCTAAGCCCAGGAAACACTGTGCAAAAGATGACCACACTTTCTCCTCTTGGACACTCAGGTGAACAAAGAAGTAGTCCCGAGAAGTCTTTGAAGTAACTAAATGCACCCATTTCACATGGTTGAGCCTAGGGTTTTCTAAAAATATTGACCCCAAAAACTTCAGTACAGTCTCAACAGTAGTGTAATAATAGGAAACCCAGGGATAGTAAGGAAGGAGAAGGGCATCTTGGTTACCTTTTGTGAAATATAAGAAACAATATGCTCTGAGGCACTTTCTGTTCTTGCTTCCCACTGTGTTCTGATGTACCCATTTTACAGATGAGGAAAATGAGCCTTTGCCCCGCACCACTCTAGGGGAAAGGAACAGAATCTGGGATTGAGCTCTGGCTTCTCAGGTTCCACCAAACATTATATGCACAGAATTATCATTCGAGAGAAAGTGCCTCATTTGCAATTCTTTTTTTTTCCCACTGCATTACGTTTTGATGCAAAAGTTAGAATTTTCTTCACTTAAAATGTAAAATAAAAGGTCTTTCATGTTGGCAAAGTTTGTGACGCCATTCTCCCACCCCAAAGAGCAATAGCAATTTGGGACTTATAAGATTTCAGCCTCTGAACTTGAAAACAAGCTGCAGGATGTGTGTTTGGCTCTAATAGTGCTTTTAGTTAAGAAGTAGTTCTAAGTTCATTAATCAACCAAGGTTTAAAGCTTCCCTTGTCAATGTGAACAGGGCAGGGTAACTTTTCTGTTTGGCACAGTACTGCAGGCATTAGATTTAAAACTTACTGAGTTGAAATAGAAGTTAAGAATCTAGTTCTTTCTTAGAGGTACTGTGGAATTCTTGCTTTAATAAACAAAATAGCTACAAAATAGTCCCAGGAGCTGGGAAAGCTGTTTTACCCATATGATCTTATTAATCCCTTACAATAATGCAACACGTGCATAGAGAACTTCAGAGCTTAAAGGTTGCCTGTGTCCCATTGTGGATACTTACTAGTCAACCGGTCAACCTTACCTTATAAGCAAGGTGAGCCAGGAGCTATTTAAAGCTCTTCCCCCAGACCACCTCAGGGATCAGGGGAACCAGCCCTGCCAGTTGGCCTTAGTCTCCCGCCCAGCATCATTCACACATCATGGCACAGAGGCTCTGCTCCCCTGCCTTTGTGAACTCTTGAGTTTTCTAGCCCACCTTGCAGATTCCCTGTGTGTCTCTTAAGAATCCATAGCAACTGCCTATGGGCCCAGATTCTTCCCAACGTCTTATCTTCTAACTTGGCGAGTGTTTATTTGTGTCCCTCCAGTTTGAGGATGAAGGGCAGACCTTCTTCACTCTAGACGACGGGAACACCAAATTCTCTGACCTGATCCAGCTGGTCGACTTCTACCAGCTCAACAAAGGAGTGCTGCCTTGCAAATTGAAGCACCACTGCATCCGAGTGGCCTTATGACCTCACACATCCTCTCAGCGGAAGAAGGGAGGAAGTGCACACTGGAAGGAAGAAGAGGTCTAAACGAGGGATGAGAACGTACATCTTCCGCACCTTGGGACTGAGAGCAACATGGGTTCGTTTTTTGGTGCCAGCCAATCAAGATCGACTGGTTTGTTGGACTTTGTTAAGATTTGCTGCTGCAGATCCAGCCAGATTGCCTCCTTCTGCATTGGCCAAATCAGGGAGGGTGTTGAGAGATCCATTACAATTCTGAGAATAAACTGGAATGATCATCTTGGCTGGGCCACTTTAGGAACAAGAACCGAAGAGAAATTGGAAATGAACTCTTGCCCTGGAATAATCTTGACAATTAAAACTGATATGTTTACTTTTTTTGTATTGATCACATTTTTGCACTCCTTTGTTGTCAATATTGTATTCAGCCTATGGTAGGAGGGGATGTGGCTTTTCAACTCAAATGAGACAGAAAAAGTTTTGAATTGATGATTTCAGATTGCAGATTGGTCCCCAAAGATATCTAGAGATTGCCACAGTGTGGATTCGGCTCTCAAATTTAAAAAACCACCCCCAGCCCTTCCCAGTATACTTGAAAAGCTTTTTTTTAAAAAAAAAAAAAAAAAAAAAAAACAAAAACAAAATTACTAAAAGGTGTCAACTGTGGTCAGCATTTGGCATGTTTCGTGGACTCAGTCGAGCTACCACAGTCTGTTAGTCATTGCTCTCTGCGTAGATGTCTGATCCTTTTGTTAGTAGTGTGTCTAGTTCTCCATGGTGCAGGAGACTTTATTACATTGGAAACCCCAATATTCCCCAACACAGCACAGCTGCATGACTTCGCCTCTAGATTGATGTAAGACTGCCTTCTTGGGACATACCTGGTACCCATCATTTGCTGGCGGTGGATGCCAAATAGTCCACCTGGGGTACCCTCAGTCTCACATTTTTGCAGCTGTTCTAGAATGATCACTGCTTTGATCATTCAGACCCTACAGTGGCTTGGGTCATTTCATGATTGATCTCTCTTGGGGAATTAAAGGATCTAAAAAGAACATGACACCCTGGTGGCTTTTGTGCTGGGTCCCGTGGGTTTCCATAGTGATAAAGACAAGGAACTGCTGCAGAGGGCTCAGGCGCAGGTTGGCATTTGAAGGTCTTTGCTGGATGAACCTCTGCATCCTGCTGAAAACCCCCATAAGCCAGCAGATGTGGAGCGGCCAGAGGTGCCTCCTCTGATGGCTTAAGGGCAGATGTACCTCACAGTGGTTGTGGACAATGGGGAGTTTTAGCAACAGGACACTTGCTTCCCATTCAAAAGAGATGGTCAGATTGTGGCTTGAGTTGTAACACAGTCCCCTGTATTCCATAGCAGACCCCTTGCGTGTCCCCTTTGCTGATTGTCAGGTGTGAAGGTGGCTATTTCTTGACGCTTGACCCCGCAACACCAACTAAACTCCCTTGACAAGCATGCAGACTACTGTGGTGAGCAGAAAGCTTTCTTTTCTAAAACAATGTCCAACAGGCTCCTTTGAAGCTGTGCTGGCCACTGGATTGTTCCAGATGCGACCCATTGATGTGTGCTCCCAGAGGAACCGCTTCTCTCTGCCCTTGTGTTGATGTGTGTAGTTCAGGAAAGATGTGTGTTGTGCTTCAGTGAGGCAGATCGGCTGGCTGCAAGTCGGTCCGCAGGATAGAAACATTGTATTTTGGTTTATTCCATCCATTTCCATGAGATGTCTGCCTTCACAAATGAAGCATTTCTTTAGTAGGATATGTTTTTAACCATAAATGCTTTTTGTATTTCTTTCTTTGGCAGCCAGTTAATCAAATAATTGACAGTGAGGTAATTTCTCAAGTTCTTGCCTAGCATCATGCTTTTACTGATCTCCATGTTAGAGACGGTTACTTCAGTTCTATCGTTTTGTACCTTGTTTCTCTTCACTGGTTTGCGGTAAAAACCTTAAGCAACAACAAGCAGCAATTCTAAGATCTCTTTTTTTCTTTTTTTTACGCAGACCAGTCCCCATTGTGTATCATCCCTCTCTTATGCCTCTCCATAGACAGCTAGGATGTGCAGTATTTCATATTTATAAGTATGCGTTTTATTTAAAAGGAGAAATAAAAGCTTGACTCTGATTCATAATTTTGTATGTAGCTGGTTTGACGCAGTCTTTTGTACTTCCCCAGCCGAAGTGAATTGTTGGAGGCTGCTATAAACCGCCTCGTGCGGCGCAGACTTCCAAAGGCCCTGGCTCTCCCGCCTTTACGCAGGTAGCTGGGAATTCCATCTGAAAACAGCAAGTCCCTTGAGTCGTGGGCGTCTAGCCCCCAAGCCAGGGACTGAAGGACATTTGACTTTTATTTTTGTATTTAATTGACATGAATGTAAAGGGGACAGCTCAGGGTTGTTTTGGAGCCTGTTGACTTTTTAATCTCTGCCTGTGATTTTCTTTTCTAAATGAGAACTCCATGTAGCAACCTGGACTAAGTCGAGAAGGAAAAACGCCAAATGCTTTGGGTATTAGAGTTTAATAGGTAAGCTCTGTTCCATTAGGTGTTAGAGTTCCAGAACGTGTTTTTTTCTTTTTGTTTTTTCTTTATTTTTTGTTTGCTAAACCTTGAATAAACATGTGCCTCAGCTTAGATGTTTTGTCTTCTCCTTTCTGCACTTAATACCTGACAATTTGACTGATCCTTGCGCCTTTATGAGGGCAGGACTAGCTCATCGTAGATTTGTGGTGTCATAGTGCAAATTGCAGTGACCATAAAAATGTCCTGACGTGTGAACGTTTTCAGGGAATGCAGAAGGTGTTAATTAAGAGACAAAACCTTTACTCCATGTGCTTTGCTTCATTATGTATATAGCTCTTTGGCTCGTGAACCTAATTGTAAACTTTCAGGTATTTTTGTACAAATAAGGGACTGATGTTCTGGTTCTTGTAATTAGAAATAAACATTAATACAGTGTTCTTCATTTTCTGTTGTTTGTTATGTCTCTCTATATTTAAAAACACTTGCTGGTTATCCACTCAAAACCTTTGGAAATGACATACGGTATTAAAAATGGGCTTCCTGCCACTAGTTAGGAGCTGGCACAAGGAATTGGTAGTACTTTGTCCTGTGAAAGCTTGCTCAGCCTTGAGTAAATGTGGGATTCCAGGTCATGACTATACCTGGACATTCTCAGCCACAAGAATCCCAGACTCAGGTTTCAAAGCAAGTCAGTTAGTTAGCCACAAAGGTTTAGCAAAGAACCCTCAAAACTCAAAACATTTACATTTGACAATTCCAATAGTGCCATTTTTCCCATAGTGGTAGGACAATTAAAATATCAAGAACTAGCGGTTTTGACACATAAGAAATTAGTCATGTAAGAAATTGGCAAAGAGATTCAGATAATGGATGCCTTTGCTGTTGCTTCCAGGCCCTCACCTGGGGAAACCCTAATGTACTCATGACCAGCCACTCAGACCTGTCTTGCCATCTCATGCCATCTCCCTGCCTTCTCCCAGTCAGTCAGAGAAATAGTGCATATTATCACATGCCTGACCTGTTAACTTCAGGAAAACACTTATAGTATTCAGAACGCCCTTGTCATTTAGTTTTAGAATCTGAATCCTTGATTTCTGATAGCTCTCCCCAAAAGACAAGCAGACCTTAAAGGTAGAACAGATAACTGTTACTACTCTCCTTATGACATAGCCAGGTCACTGTAGAACTCCACAGTTCTAACAAAGATCCAGAGTGAGTGAGGCCCCGGTGGGCCCAAGTCTCAAATGCAGACTTAGATGGTAACTCCAACTAAGATGCTGCAAGCAGCCACACAAAACACCAAATAGAATGAAAAAAATGAGGGTCAGCACACTTTAACCTTGGTCTTCTGCAACTGTCCCACTCTAAAAATTTTTTTGGCAGTTCAGGGAATGGACCCCAGTGACATTTTACCACTGGGCTATCTCCCCAGCCCTTTTTATTTTTTGAGTTAGTTTTGCTAAGCTGCTGACGCTGGCCTTGAAATTGCAAGCCTCCTGAGTCACTGGAATTACAGGAGTATGTCTCTGTGCCTGACTCTTGAGTGATTAGTGAAATTATAGAAAGGATTTTTTTTCATTTGTGTTTGTTTATTTAAATAAAAAATGAATGTGCTTGTTAAATATATAAATATTCACAACACGTGGTCAGTCATATCCCCTTTCATCTTGGAAGTATGTCATATTTATAAGGACAGTGATAAAAAGTGAAAAATTCACTCTAGACAAAGTTGGCCTTCATCTGCCATCCTCAACCCCCACAGAGGCCCAGGTGGGGCTGTTCACAAGGCCACAGAGATCTAGCAGAGACTACAAGGTAACAGAGGAACCACAGCTGCAGATCTCTGCACGGCCAGCAGAGGGCACTTCAAGACAAATGGCACTCCCAGAGGGGAAGCCAGTGACCATTGGGGGAATAGGGAAAAAAGGCACAGCTGAGAATAGTAGATTGGTGTCATTTGTCCCCTAGGATACAGTGTAAGTCTTCAATCTGTAGATGGATCCAAGATATAATATGCATAAAAATCCCACTGTAAGTCATAAAAACTTGGTTACTGGCGGGTTGGTTATAATTAATTTAAAGTAGACAAACAGATCACCTTGTCTTTGATTATAAATCAGGATCCATAGACCTCCCCCCCTGCTCCAGGCAGGGGACTCAGGTCCTGCAGAGACACCAGGGCCATCACACATGACAAGCCAAGTCCTTGTTACTACTTAACTAGAAATCATATCAGAAATGGAAGAAGAACATTCACCGAAGAAAAGCTGAACAAAGCTTAGGAACACTTTAATATAATTTTTAATTAAAATATAATCATAGAAGTACCTTGATGGCCATAAGAATTGCCTCTTGAGCTTTCTATAGTCATTGATTAGTTTTCATTTTCAGGTGTGACAAATCTTGACCTTTATTTCCATAGAAAGGTATCATTATAGAGGGTTTTGAAGGTTTTGATTGCAACTAACAGTAAGAAATAAATTTGATATTATGACCCAGCATACACACATACATACATGATCAAAATCAGAGTTTCAGCTGGGCGTCGTGGCGCACGCCTGTAATCCCAGTGGCTTGGGAGGCTGAGGCAGGAGGATCGCGAGTTCAAAGCCAGCCTCAGCAAAAGCGAGGTGCTAAGCAACTCAGTGAG